GTTAGTCTTTATCTTTTCAGTTTTTCTTAGTCATGTGTTAACTCTTTTGTAGTTTGCCTGTTTACTGGTATCTGTTTGTGAATGTTTTGTTGGTTTTTTTTCAGATGTAGAACCTTTCTTATTTTACTAACAAAAGTGCATTGTTAAGTGAGCTGGTGTCTCACCCTGGTGTAAAAGCCTAATAACCACTCCTAGACAAGGAGGCAGTCTCTAAGAAAGATCTCACTGCTTTCTCCCAGATCTGTAATAAAGTGCCTATGGATATTACAATCCATCTTTCTTATTGACTGTTGACTACAGAAAGAACCCCTTGCGTTCAGTAACACCAGCTCTATCTTGAGCCAATCTCACTGTCTCTAATACACCTACCCTCATTACCTCAGAGCTCAACAACTATACTCCCACACATATGTCATGGCATGGTGGAACACAATCTGGTGGTATTGATGAATTTGGGCTTGTTTGAACATATAATTATGGTTGTAAAGCTGTCGTCAATGGCCTTCCACCTGCAAAACTAGAATTCTGTTTTGCTTTTTTTTGTTATGTAAAGTACTTTAAACTGTTTGTTTACCATGGTTGAAAGGGCATCTATCCTGGATTAGTATTCACCTCTTGGAAACTGTTTTACTCAGTTGTATGTATTTCTTGTCTGGAGCAGCGCATACGCCTTTGAAGAATACACACACACACACACACACACACACACACACATTTCTCAAGTTGTATGTAATTAAATTAGTATTTATCTCTTTAAAGATATCTTTCTCAGTCATGTGTAGCCTAGCTGTTTGTTTACTAGGAACTATAATACCTAACTCAAGTATAAAAATTAATGACCAGTCTTGGACTGGGAGGCCGTTTTTGAGCAGATTCTGTCTTACCAGATCTGCATAAAATGCTTTGGAGATTGCAATCAGTCTATTTTATTGGCAATTTACCATGGAAATAATCCCTTGCATTCAGTAACAGATATATTTGTAACTCTGAGTTGTTCTAAGTCCCCTTTGAATATCTTAAAATTGCCTTTTAGTATTCAAAGTTACCTTGAGTAGTTCAAAGTTGCCTTTGAGTTGTGGTGCTGTAAAAGAATATTGAACATACCATGGACCTCCAAGAAAACAAATAAGTCTGCCTTAGAGAGGGTGAAACCAAGTTGCTCCTTGGAGGCTAGCATTTTGAAGTTCTGTCTTACATTTTTTGGACACGTGGCCAAGAGGGACCAGAAGTTGGAGAAGGACATCATGCTTGGAAGAGTGGAGAGACAGCACAGGAAAGGAAGAGCCCAGATGAGATACATTGATAAAGTACCTCAGATGAAATAGATTGACACAATAAGTGGGGAAAATGGGGTAGGTGTGTTGGAGTCAGTGAGACTTGTTCAGGACAGGGCAGGCTTCAGAGCTGTGGTACAAAGGTTCACTATGAGTTTCAGGTGACTAGATGGCATATACCAACAGCAACAATAAAAACTACTGAATATCTTGTTGTTATTACCCTCAATATAGAGCACAAGAACACTTAAACTAGGACCTGCTTCATTTACATTATAGTCTCACACCTTCTTCAACTAAGAAAAGGTAATTTTCTTCCAACTCTCACTCACTTGTTAAATTAAGGAATACATAGATAAACAAACACAAAACACTGTGCTGTCAAGTCTGAAAGCAAAGATAACCAGAGGAATGTCTACCTGTGTTTCATTGACCATAGAAAGGCAGTTAACAGTGTGAAGCACAACAAATTGTGGCTGACCTTGAAAAGATTGGGAATCCCAGAAAAATTGGTTGTGCTCATACAAAATGCATAGACAGGGAAGCAGTCTTCAGAACAGAGCAAAGAAACACTGCATGCTTCAAAATCAGGAAAGTAGTGTATCAGGGATGTGTCCTGTCTTCATACCTTTTCAACATGTACACAGAACAGACCATGTGGGAGACTGGGCTTTCTGAGGAGGAATGTGGCATCAGGATTGGAGGAAGACTCATCAACAACCTTCCTTATACAGATGGTAGAGCCTTGCTTGCTGAAACTGAGGAGGACCTAAAGTACATGCTGCAGAAGGTTAAGGACTGCAGCTTTCAATATAGTGAAGCTCAACATCAAATAAACAAAAATTCTCACCACGGGGCCAATTGGCAGCACCATAATAGATAGAGAAGAGATTGAGGTTTTTAATAATCACAGTTTGCTAGGCTTCACAATCAACACTGTTAGCACCTGCTAGTCAGGAAATCAAAAGACAAATTGCATTAGGGAAATGTGCTGTCAGAGACCTTTCCAGAGCACTGAGAAGCAATGAAAATGCTCCTACCACAGGCCATGGTCTTTGCAATTAATTGCTATGCATCAGAGAGCTGGACAATGACTAAGAAAGACAAAAGAACTGATTCCTTTGGATTGTGGTGCTGGTAAAAACTATTGAACATACCAATGGAACACCAAGAAAACAAGTAAGTCTATCTTGGAAAGGGTGAAACCAAAGTTTTCCTTGGAGGTTAGGATTTTGAAGCTCTGTCTCACTTACTTTGGGACCATGGACAGGAGGGACCAGTTCTTAGAGAAGGATATCATGCCCAGAAGGATGGAGGGAGAGTGCAAGAGAGGAAGACCTCTGATGAAATGGATTGATATAGTAATTGGGATAATGGAGATTGGGGGGGCAGAGTCCGTAAGTCTGGCTCAGGACGAGGAGGCTTCAGAGCTGTTGTACACAAGGTCGCTAAGAATCGCAGGCAACTCAACAGCACGTAACAACAACAATAGCAACTCAAGTCTGACTCATTGCTGACTATTCAGAGGGTTTTTGACTCATAGTTGACTATTCAGAGGGTTTTCAGAAGGTAAATCACTTGAGGGGAAATGGCCTGCCTTTCTCCACAGAGCAGCTGGAAGATATACCCACAGCCTTTGGGTTAGCGGAACAACTCCTTCCCCACTAGGGCACCAGGAATCACCTAGAACAGCACTTTGGTTTTGCTTCCCTCTTGCGTCTGTGATTATCATGCGTTTCAATAAGACTGGGTTTTTACCTATATCTGAGGTCACATATTTCAAAGAAAGCCAGAAAGCAAGTGTGTTAATGGAAAAAGAACTCTTACGGACAGTTTTATTTAACTGATATATTGTTGTTACGGCCCATTGAATGGGAACTGACTCAGAGCTGACCCTCCAGTGGGAGGATCTCAAGGGAGGCAATTGTCCATCTTTCTTCCACAGAGCAGCTGGTGGATTAAAACAGATGCCTTAGATTTAGTAGCCAGACTCCTTACGACTAAGACCACGGCTCACCTTAACTGATAGAAATATTAAGAAAAAAGGGGACAAATAATGTAATGATTTTGATCTTTATAGAGCTTGCAGTCCTTTGTCTTTATTCCTTTACCTTCTGTCTTTCTATGTTTTTATACAGTATGTTTGATAAACTGCTTTTTTTTTCTTTTTGAAACTTCAATAGTTTTGGTTTCCTTCCCTACAATGTGTGCAAAACAGTTATTGACACATGAATTATTCTATTGTCATGGCACAAATTCAATCCCTCTCTGGCAAAAACTCTAATTTTTCTTTTCCCTCCTCGTAATTGCTAATAATTTTCAGTGTGTGTGTGCTTGAAACACTTGCTGCAGAAGATCAAAGACTACAGTCTTCAAGGAGTTATATACCAAAAAGAGGACAAAAATCTTACCACCACCATGCCAATAAGCAATATTACAATGATAGATTGAATTATCAGCCCTTTCATCTTACTTGGATCCACAGTCAACCCCCTTTGTGCCAACAATAAGAGGATCAGGAGACGTTTTGAATAGGACAAGTCTTGTGTGAGGGACACCGTAAAATTCTGAGGAGCAGTTATCTTAGTTTGAAGACTAAAATACATCTGATTCAGATCATGGTCTTTTCAATCGCTTACTATATATCTGTGAGCTAGACTATGATTAAGGAAGACAGAAGAAGTTATGCCTTTGAGATGCAGTACTACAAAAGAGTACACAATATCTCATGAACTGCCAAAAATACAAACAGATAGGTACTGGAAAAAGAAGAGCCAGAAAGTTCTTTGAAAGCAAGGATTGCCAAGCTTTGTCTCACATGCTTTGGGCATATGGTTTGGAGATGCGATTTCTTGGAAAGGAGCATCTTGCTTAGAAACGCAGAGAGTCAGAGAAAGAGGAGAATATCCCCAATGAGATGGATTGACACAGTGATGGTGGCAATGGGCTCAAATGTGTCAGCGATGATGAGGATGACACAGGATATGACAGAGTTGAGATCTGTTGTCCGTAAGGTCCTATGAGTTGTACTTGACAGCACCTAACAACAGCATAAGTGAGATCATAAATTAGGTTTGGGGACAAGTAATTTATGACCCACTTTTTAAGTTCCAGTAACAGTGTAAATGTCGCCTAGGATCAAACACCTTGGAGAGGATTAGCAATTTCCCTCCACAGAATGTTGCCACAGAGAGACCCAAAAGCCAATGGTATCAGATTTATTAGTGAAAGAAGAAATACAAAGTCAAGCACAGTATGCTGGCTAAGAGTTAGACAGCAGGACCCCTTTTGTGAGTGAGGAGAAACATCTTTCTAGGAGTAGAGTTCTAGTCTTTGTTGGGCCTTCTTTCCACCCTTGATGTTCTTTCCTTTCCAAATAGTGCCTTTTTTTATTATTGGTAGTGAAAAGGGACTCATTCATGACAACTACAGTTGTTTTCTAGTTGCTGCTTTTCCCCAAGTCCATGTTACCCACAGTTCCAAACTCAGAACTATGGGAAGGATGGTTAGCTCAACCAAGCCTATGGCAATAGCAGTTGGCCCCAGTTATCTTCTCCTGCTTCTTCATTGGACCCTCATATTCATGTTCCCTTTGACTCTAACAACACTGATTTCATAATTCTCAATTTTTGTCTATGATTTATTGTAAATCAGACTTTTTCTTTATTACTGAAATATTATACATAATTTATTTGTTCATAGACAATTTGTTTAAATCTCCCTATACTATTTCTTAAGCAATAATTTTCTCAGTGCACTGTAAACATCCTTGTTTCTGAGACTGTATATCATGGGATTAAACATGGGAGTCACAACAGTGTAGAAAAGAGAAAGTAGCTTGTCTATCCCTGAAGAATGACTGGATTTAGGTCTCAAATATGCTATGGCACCAGATCCGAAAAACAATATCACCACCAGAAGGTGAGACGAGCAAGTGGAGAAGCCTTTCACTCTTTCTGAGGCTGTTGGCAACTTCAGAATGGTGGTAATGATTTTACTGTAGGAAACAAGAATCAACAGAAAAGGGATTGCAATGATCACCATAGCTTCTACATAGATGAACATCTCATGACGAGAAATGTCCCCGCAGGCCACTCTGATCACAGGGAGGCTGTCGCAGAAGAAATGGTTAATGTCATTTGAACTGCAAAAATTGAGAGAGAATATCTGAGCAGTTAATCCTATCTGAACTGGGATTCCGATGGTCCATGAGCCAAGTGCTAGCTGGATACATAACTTTTGGTTCATAACTACAGGATAATGCAGGGGGTTACAAATGGCCACATAACGGTCATAAGCCATCACAGTCAGGAGGAAACATTCACTGGTCCCCAGCACAAGAAAGAAGCACATTTGGGTGGCACATTCAAGAAAAGTAATGTTCCTATCCTGAGTCCAAAGATTGACCAGCATCCTTGGGAGAATGACAGACACATAACAGATTTCCAAAAAAGAAAAATTTGCCAGGTAAAAATACATAGGTTTATGTAATGCAGGATCAAGTATAGTTAATATTATTATAAGGCTATTTCCAATTATAATAACCATGTAAATGATGGTAAACACTCCAAACAGAAACCCTTGGAGATTTGAAAGGTCAGAAAACCCCAGTAGGACAAACTGTTTCACCACAGAGATGTTGCCTTCTGCCTTTTTCATTTTAAGTTTCTTCTAGAGGGCGGATTTAATAAAAAAATATAAGTTAGTTCACATTTCTTGGCTTTTCTCAGTCTCACCTCAATTAAGGATGGTATGCCTTAAAAAGGTTCTATTTTTTTAAGTGACTTTATATACACGGCAGTTCCTTTAATACGGTTGCTGTTATTGTTAGGTACTGTGAAGTCCAGTACGACTCATAGCACCCTATGAACCAAAGATCTGAACTCTGTTCTATCCTGTGTCATCCTCACACTTCCTGACACGCAAGAGACCATTGTGGCAGTTACCAGGTCAATCCACCTGGTTGAGGGTCTTCCTATTCTTTTCAAACCCTCCACCCTTTCCAGTATCATGTCCCTCTCCAATGAATAGCCCTTCCTAGCAACATGTCTGAAGTATGTGAGGTGAAGCCTCATCATTCTTGCCTCCAAAGAGCACTCTGGCTACACCCTTTCCAAGACACATCTATTTGTTCTCTTGGCCATACATGGGATATTCAGTGCTCTTCTCCAACACCTCGGCTCAAAGGTGTCAATTATTTTTCTGTCATCCTTGTTCATTGCCTAGCTCTCAGGTGCATTCCAAGTGATTGGAAAGACTATGGTTTGAATCAGACACACCTTGGTCCTCAAACTACCATCATTACTCTTCAATAGTTTGGAAAGGTCTCTAACTGCAGATTTTCCCAGTGCAATATGTCTCCTTAGTTCCTAACTGCTGGTACCAAAGGTGTTAATTGTGGATCCAAGCAAGGTGAAACCCCATCCCGTTATGATGTTGCCTATTGGTCCAGTGGTAAGAAAATTAGTCTTCTTGACATTGAGGTGCAATCCATACCGAAGGCTGCATTCCTTCATCTTCTGCAACAAGTGTTTCACGTCTTTCTTACTTTCAGCAAGCAAGGTTGTATTATCTGCTTAACTCAGATTGCTGATGTGTCTCCCTCCAATCCTGATGCCACACTCCTCTTCATAGAGCCCAGCTTCTTGGATAATTGGCAAAGCATACAGATTGAATATGTTTGGAGAGAAAATATAACCCTGACTCTCTTCCTTATCAATTCTAAACCATGCAGTGCTCCCCTGCTCTGTTCACTCAACAGCCTCCTGGCCCAGGTTTAGGTTCAACATGAGTCTGATTAAGTACTCTGGGTCAGACAACTATATCTTCAAATTATTAATAAATAAATCCAAAAGTTTCATGCCAAGTATTGCATATTTATGGTGATTAGATTTGTGAATCTAAATTTTACTCTTCATGTGAGCACACAAGATCTCAATACTAAAATTATGCTCACTGTTTTGTTATTTTTTTCATACTTTCAGTTGACTTTATTTCCTACTCTTCTCTCAATATTATTTTCCAACGTTATCAATTTAACATTAATTTAATAGCTCAAATAAATAGCCTTTCAGTTAGCTGTTATAGACATTTAAGCATGTGTCTTAGTCATTTGTTATATACATAGAAAACATCCACTTTAACATTTAAATAAATTAATTAGAAAGATTTTCCAGTGATAACTCAGAAATCTTATTTTGTTTTAACGTACTGTTCTTTGAAACTGTTTTGTTCTAAAAGTTGGTCATGGGTTAACTACCAAATCTTATGGCATATCATTTCCTTTTTTAAATATGTCCTTGCATTTCAACACGTGATCTGTGGAATCAGATGTCATAATTTTTATTTATAATTGAAGTCAAGCTAAAGTTAGATTCAAAGTCTATCATTTGTGCTCAGTTAAGTCCATTTTGCTGGAATATCTGTAATTTTATTCTTTATAGACATTACTTCTAAAAAAAGAGAAACTTCAACTACAGCTCACCTTTGATATTTTTTTTTACTTATCCACCTCATAATCAATTGCCATCTTTCTACTGATCTCATTTATGCTGTTCATTCTTTTTTCATACAGATTGCATGTTGTATTCTTCATTGTGTTAGATTATAACTTCCATTTTTAATGTGAAGTTTTCCTTCTATATATATTTATTGCAGACTTCTCACAGATTTCATTTTCAACTTACCTTCTGTGAAAGACATAGTATTTTGGTGAAAAAGTTATTTATTGATGTCCCTATATCTTGATTTATTAACTTCTGTGATAGATTATATACATAAACCAAATTTATAGAGTCTAGAATATTTTCCTGGGAGCCTTGGTGGCTCAATGATTAGGAATTGTATTGTCAACCCAAAAGCACGTAGTTCGAATCCACTAGTTTCTCTGTGGGTAAAAGAAGGGCAGTCAGTCTTTGAACATCCTCTATGGCGTCAGATATGGGTTAGTTCCAACTCGACAGCACGTGACAATGACAAAGAATCTGTGCCAAGTGATTAGAATGTGTTCCCACCCAAAATAATTGCCTACCTCTCATATTACCAGATTTAAAGACGGAATCATGCTTTTCCACCCTTTTGTGTTTGTATGCTACACAACGATACTCATTTTATATATTAAACTTATAAAAGTAATACGTTATCTCATTGCCAATATATTGCAAGATAACTCCTATATTATGTCTTCATTAATCTGAAAGTAAATGTACATTGTTGCTGATTGGGTTGTTGGTTGCTGTTGAATCTGTTCAAACTTGTGACAAATCAATATACGACTCCTCCAAGGCTGTTGGCAATGGGCTCACAAGGTTTGGAGACGATGAGGATGGCGCTGGATAGGACAGGGTTCTCATCTGTTGTTTACAGGACCGCTGGATTGCACCTACCAACAACAAGAGGTTTTAAGGCTGGAAGTAGATGTCAAGATTTGTCTTCTAGGACATATCAGAGTGCATTCAAACTGCCAGGTTTTTTTAGCAATATTCCTGCAATTAATTATTTATCCATCTCAGAGATCTGTCAATACTAACTCCGGACAAAGAAGAGATTCTCCATTTATCATATGCCAGTGATTATGCAGGTGATTCAAGTGGTGGCAGACTTTTGTTCTCTTACTCATTGACCTCTGTGAACTACAACCGACTCAGAAGCACCTAACAACAGCACGAGGGTGATCAGTGTGGATCATGTTCTAGAGGAGAAACCACAGTAGTGGTAACAGTCTATGTAAAATTTGGGCACCCTGTGGATTTCCTGTGAGTAAAGGAAAGACGAGTAATCTCCAATGTCATTACTGTGCTGGTGAGTCTGAAGAACCTCATAGATGAACCGTCACAGGGTTTTCTGAGGACCTAAATGACACAGAAGGAGATAGCTCATCTTTTTCAGAGGAGCAGCTAGTCAACTGGAATCTCATGCCTTTGGGTTAACAGTGCAATGCTGTGCTACTAAGCTATCAGAGTTCTCCTATCTAGATAAGTAGTTACACACTAAAACTGTTTGCACAGTTCTTTTCTTACAGTTTGCTCAGTAAAATTTTGATTGTAAGGAATATTCATGACATTCTAATTTTAAGGATTTTCAGAAGCTAGCATCTAACAATCTGAAATGAACCACGAGAAGATTTTAGTTGTATTAGACTTCTCAGATCATTTGTTGTTGTGAAGGGCCATCACGTTTGAACCAATTCATAGCTGACCCTCTCCCAAGTTTTCAAAACAATAAACAGCAAGGGAGGAGAGTGCTCATCCCTCTGAAAATTTAAATTGTGGCCTTTAGGATTGTGGCTTCTTACCACTAAACCACCAGAGATCATGTGGAGTATATCTCAGCATCAAGTAAACTAAAATTCTTATCACTAGGCCAATAAGCAGTAGCATGGTAAATGGAGAAAAGATTGAAATAGTCAATGATTTTATCTTGCTTGGATTCTTAGTAAGCACTCTTGGTAGGGAGACTAGAAGACATATTACTTGGGAAATTCTGCTGTCATGGGGTCTCTCAAAAGTCCCGAACAACACCCTAGACACTAAGGTGCACCTGATTCAAGCCCCAGCCTTTCCAATCACTTGCTACTCGTCTGAGAGCTGAACAATGAATAAAGATGACAGGAGAATGTTTCATGCACTTGAGTTGTGGTATGGAGGAGTGTTAAACATCCCATTGACTGTGAAAAGAACAAGCAGATATGTCTTGGAGAAAATGCAACCATGGAGGCAAAGACGGTGAAGCTTGATCTCACACATTCTGCACATATTTCTTGGAAAGTCTATTCCTTTGAGAGAGACATTATGCTTGTCAAAGTGGATGGTCTGTGAGAAAGATGATTAAACCTTGATGAGATGGATTTACACTTGTCTTTGACAATAAACTCAAATGTGTTGAGAAGGACAAAAATGTTGCAGGACAGACAGAGTTAAGACCTATTGTTTGTAGGTTTGCTGGGAGACATACTCAACACTTTACAACAACACTAACTCAAATCCTACTTCCTTCATGCCACCATTTTACAATATTATAATTTTTATTGACCTCTTTAATTCAATATTTGTTTAACTTTCTTCAACTTTTTGCATTTTGTACCCACATTTTGTGAATCACCATATTTTCAGAAACTGTATATATCCTCATTATTGCATCTGATACTTTTTTAACTGCTTTCTTCAATCTTGGACTTCTCCGTAAAAATCGCCATTGACAGAGATTAGTACTTTTGAAAAGAAAGCTGAAACTGAGTTTAGAGGAAATAATAAACAAGGAAAAGAAACTAAAAAGCAAACAAGAATATGTTGTTCTGAATCCATTTTGAATATTTTTAACCATAGTTGGGTTTTGTTTCTGTTGGTGTTAATTTTTTCACCTTCAATTTGCTTGTTGTTATTGTTATGGTTTTTCTCAATTTGCTTGTTGTTATGTGTAATCCAATCAGAAACAGTTCATTGTTGACTCTTTAGTGAGTTTTCAGAGGCTTAGCATAGGAGGAGAGTGCTCTTCTTTCTTCAACAGAGCAGCTGATGGATTCAGACCTTTGTGTGTCTTTGTGTTGACAGTGCAACTCTGTGCCACTAGGCAACCAGAATTCCCTCAATTTGTTTATAGAGTGGGTAAACATGATACATACATGTATACGTGTGTCTGATGAGTCTTATGAGATGTACTGT